GATAGATGGTCGCATTGCCTAAGCGGAGGCAGTAGGCAGCGCGGTTGTGGTCGTGGTCGGCGCGTCGATGAAAAATTTTCATCGCGTCGAAGCCGCACCCCAACAGCCTGCAATGACGTGTTACAGGCTACCACCCATCACCTCTACACTCAGCTACCCATTAGAGACGCTCCTCTAATGGATATTACTAGCCGCGGCGACGTAGACGCGTGCAGTAGGATTTCGCGGCCGTTCTATCTAAAGAACTAACTAGGGGGTGTAGAGTTAAGATAAAAGTAAGGTTATATAAGGAATAGTTAGATCTAAGCCGGTATATAATACGAAGAAAAGAAATAGGTATTAAGAAGTAGTATTAGGTAAAGGAGTAAGTATCTTTTATAGAGTAAAAACCCTAGGGGAAAACCTCTATAAAAGATAGGGAAAAGAGGTAGAGGCTAGGGGAGGAGTAAAGAGAGAGAGTCTAGGGATAGGCTCAAAGAGGCTCGACTCGGAGAGAGAGCCCGGTAATAAAGAGTCTATTTTTAATAGCTCTATTTACCTCTGATGCGGTGGGAAAGGCTAGGTAGATTAAGCTAGAAAGCTTCTTTGCCCGGGTTTCTTCGGGGGTAAGCTAGTAAGGAGTTCCTGCTAGCTCTAGACCTTAATTAAAGGTAGCAATTTCTTCCCTAAGGGAGGAGAGCGCCTCTAGAGAGGCGTAATCCCTAGTAGGGAGACCATAAGCAGCTACTTTAAACCAGGTCCATAGTTTTTCAGCGGATTTGAAAGGGATAATATTATCCTAGAGAGGCTTATTTTCTAGTAGGTAGCTATTAGAAAATAGAGCGGTGGTTGTAAGGACTAGGTTTCCCTTTAGGGAAATAGTGCTTACGGCGAGGACGGGTTCTTTCTCTTTTTAAGTAAAGCGAGAGTTGAATGTATCTCTGAACTCTCTATTTGAGAAGGATTGCGGAAGGGTAGGGGCTTAGAGAACTAGTTACCGGCTAGGAGAGAGTAGGGTTCTAGCTTTTTAAGGAGCTAGAATCGAGGTAACTTTACTAGAAACTTTTCTAGCTGTTTAGGGGAGGTTTTAGGCTGTAGCTGTAGTATAGGTTTGGGGGCGAGTTTTAGTAGTTGTTAGACTACTAGTTGGTTTCTTTGTTGTAGTAGGGGGTTGGATAGGCCCTCTCTATATTAGGTAGAGGCGGTTTTCTTTAGTGAAGTTCCGGAAGATTTCTAGAAGGTCTAGAAGTCTATTTTCCTAGGGGCGGGAGTCGGATAGGTCTACTACTTTCTGTAGGTAGTCTCTAGCTAGTAGAATAGCTTCGGGAGCTGTTGTTAGTGCGGAAGTAGTAGGGGGAGGAGGTAGGGGCTAGAGTTTCTATTATTTCTATAGGGGTTGCTGGGAGGGTTTTTCCGGTTGGGTTTCCGATCCCGGGTAGATAGAAACCTCTAAGTTTAAGGAAGAGGTACTTTGGGTGCTTAGTAATAGTAGAGGTCTCTTTTCCCCTCCTTAAAAGATTAGGGGGTTTGGGATATCTACTTCTATTTCGGTAGGAGTAGAGGTTTTTTCCGGTGTAGGTAGGGTTTAAAGAGTATCGAAGCGTGTTCTAAGGGGTAGGGTAGATAGCCTAGGAATAGGCGTTGAGATTTCTTCCCGTAGGCGTTAGTAGACTCTTTAGTTAAAGATAATTTTTATTATTTAAAACTAGTAGCGGAAGGTGTTTTTAGTTAGTTTAATTCTAAAGCGAATTTTATAAGAAACTTAGTTTTAGACTGTAGGGGTAAGTTGGCCGAAGATGTAGTGTTCGACGAGAAAAGTAGGGGGTTTAAGAACCCGGACTTATGTTTTTACTATAGTATTTGCCCGAGGTGTGTTATTCCGGGCTAGGAAGTCTGCCTAGGGTAGAGATATGATAGGGTCTATGCGTAGTCTTAGCGGGGAACGCCGAAAATTTTATCTACTGGGGGAACCGGTAGGGAGGTTTTTACCTATAGTTAATATAATAACTAAGGCCTACGGCCTGGTGTAAGTTAGTCTATAAAGTAAGTAGGCTGTGCTAATTCGTTTGATAGTATTTTCGAGGTTCTAGGGGCGCTGGTTATAGCGATTCTATTAGTGCGAGAGGTGTTGTTGTGAACGAATTAATTAATTAATTAATTAATCTACGGGTTAACTTCTCTTACGGTCTATAATATTCTCCCGGATATTAGGAGGGCGGGTTTCTATCTTAAGATTAGCTAGGTACCTCTTTAGTCTCGAAGTTATAGTTCCGGGTAGTTTCTAGAGGAGGGGTTTTAGTAAGAAACGCCGAAAAATTTTCCCGCTAGGTCAGAGGAAAAACTAGTATATTTTCCGGTTATAACGTAACAACCAAGGCCTGGGGCCTGGTGCAAGTTGGGGGGGTAGATAAGCTGGCTGTGCCGGTTCGTTTAGCGCCGGATTTAGGTCCCTGGGAGCGCTAGTTGTTGCGTTCCCTTCTGCCTCGAAAAAGTTAACGCTGGCGTCTAGGATTTGGGCCTTGAAAGTCTGTAAACAACTTTCCATTCCGCGTAGTGGCTTTTAATTTTCCACTTAACCTCTCCGTGTTATGATTTGAAGAAGGTATTACGGGATTTCCAATCTTTTTCCACGTACAAGCTCAACGTCTTCTTCAGTGACTTCCGTTTGCAGTAGTGTAAACATTCCATCCTTACTATGATTAAGATCGCTTCCACTGTTATCCGTCGGCCACACCGTACTTTGTCTTGGTTTCTTTGGCCCCTGACGATTTGAAGTGGGGTAAGGTACACTGCCACTGTAACCAAGACGAGCTGCTGCGACACGGAACAAAGGGCGTAAGGTTGCCAGAGAGCCGGCAGTGATTTCGAGACCTTGTTCCGTGTCGGACCAGATAGCAATATCAACGGTAGCCCCTATCAGACAAAGGTTAGCGGTTTAAATAGCACGTAAGCAGATGCGACTTACAGAGGAAGTCAGGATCTTTAAAGTCTTTGACGTACGCCATCCGGACAAGCACAGCGGAAGAAGCACTACGAATATTAGTTCAATATCGGGATGTACTAGGGGACTGATACGTACATGCAAGCCATGCTCAGAATGGGTACCAAAGCAATTTTCAATCTGCGCTCCATATTGAGGTTCCAGACGAGTAAGATTGGAAGCATTCCGAATGTAAAATTGCTCAGGGCAGAAGTGCCGCCATAAAGGTACGTCAAAGCCATGATGATCTCGGCATCCAGACACTTGCCCGATCCTCCGACTGCCTTTGTCCAGAAATAGGAGATTGGCATGCATTGCAGAAGCGTGACGAAGAAGAAGACAGCTCCTGTAATGACCGTCGCTGCCATTGCAAGCCAGATAATCCAAACATGTACGCGACGGTTTATTGATGCCCGAAGCACCGGCCACTGCGCGCCGATCTCAACTGCCGGGGAAGAGGGGCGCCTTGACCCGAGACGACGGCGCGGTGCTATGCGGTAGATATGGCGCAAGGTATTGTGAGGTACCTAAGGTTAAGTAGTACATCTTATGAATAGATATGAAGTGTCGAAGTGAAGAGAGTCGTCGGGTTGCCGAGATGTCGGTGACTAAGAATGACTAGCCATGAATTCCCCGCTCCGCATCCCCGAGGTCGCCGAAACTCGCTCCAACTTCCCCGACGTTCGCCTTTTGCTTTTTTGTTGTCTTGGAAACAGCTCGCCATGTCGTCTTGTACCACTAGACCTTCCTCGCTAGCCTGCATCGAGTGCAGAAAGCGACATCTAAAGTGCAGTGCCAGCGTGCCCGTTTGCTCGCGTTGTTCCCTTCGCGGCCTGCAATGCGTCTACAAGCCATCGCGACGCGGCCAGAGAGGCCCACCGTCCAACCATGTTGATCTGTTGTCGCCCGTGTCCGGATCCCGGATCGTTCAGAGCACTAGTGCCACGTCTAACAACGGCCTCCCGTTTTCCTCGGCTGACGTCCCTGCTCCAGCTACTTTTCCTCTGAATGGCGAAGATCCCGTTGCCCTTGCGGCCCAGGAGGCGAGCTCTCTTCCTGCCGGCAGCGAGCATCTCGTCAACTTGTACTACAACAACTTCCACCCCGCTCATCCTATCCTTGTCCCCCGCGATCTCTACCAAGCCCGAAGCTACCCGAGTTATCTGGCAAGCGTTGTCACATTCATCGGCAGCCATTTTTCATCGTCATGCTCGAGCGATTCTCTGAGGGCCATAGCCATAAACGCCCTGTCCGACTTCAACATGAAGACGGCAACCATGGTACAAGCCAGGTTGCTTTGTGCCATTGCCTTACACGCCGAGAACGAACGAGAACTTTCCAATTCACTTCTTGGAGCTGCAGTTGACCTGGCCATAGAAATTGGCATGCACCAAAAAGCTTTCGCCATCCTGTACGGGGAAGCACGGCCGATCGAGGAGGAGAGTCTCCGAAGAACCTGGTGGGAGCTCTACGTGGTTGATGGCTACTTGGCCGCTCTGGACAAGAAGTCTGAGTTCAAAACCAATGCTGTCAACGCCGACGTCCTTTTGCCATGCGAGGAGTTCGTTTACGCTGACGGAGCATGCTTGCCTTCTCCGCTTTCCCTGGCGGATTTTGACCAAAGAATATTTGGACACGACGAGTTGCAATTCTCATCCTTCTGTTACCGCATCGAAGCTACCCGGATACTCAGTCGGGTGCTCGCACTTGATGGGATGCGTGAGGTGCATCAGGACCAACTTCAAGCCGTCGACAATGCCTTGGCTGGTTGGTCGCTTCATCTCCCTCCCACCAAAGCAGACATCATGAATGAATACGGCGAACTGGATGAGATGTTGTTCCAGGCATACATGATAATCCAGTTCGCGACCATCTTCTTGCATTCCCCGAGGAGTGGTCTAATGTCGGCGCTGCCAACCTGCCCAGACATTCCCTGCATCTACAGCAAAAAGCAGGCGCCTCCAGCGCAGACCCAACACATGCATGCTGTTAAGGCGACAGAAGCTTCGAAGCAAGTCTCAAACCTCGCCGCGTTGCGATGGCCGGTACAAAAGCACACCCCTTTCTTTATCTGCGGAGTCGTCATCGGTGCCATCATTCAGCTATCCACTTGCTCTAAACACTCCGGTCTCTGCTTAGAGCAACACCGTGATCACGTCAGCTTGATCATCGGAGTTTTGAAATCGTTTAGCCAAAATTGGACGATTGCACACGTAGCCGTTACCCAGATCAAAAAGGTCGGCGCTGAGATACTACGCCCAAAACCTTTCTTATCGCAGCGCGACTCGGCTCTGGACACCTTGGAAATCTCGCCCGGCAATGACCCTTGGTTCGACCTACTCAATATGCCAACCCTACAAGGCCTGGCCGAATATGAAGCAGAAACGAATCAGCTGGTGTAAGGCGTAGGGTCCCGATAACAGCTAAGATACCCTGTATTAGCTTGGAAAATATTTTTTTCTGGATTCAACAATCTTTCCAATAGCCTTTTATTACTACATCAAGAGATCCTTTTCCATTTCGTCTAGAGATTATTGTCCGAACTTTTTTAATCAAAGGGTATTCTTACAACTAAAATAATTACTTCTTGGCCACAACTACGGAGTTCCACATATAATTTTCATGAACAAAACTAGTCACAATTTGGAAATCCAAGAAGTCCCGCTTTCAATTTATTTTCTACAGATAATACGGCTGCAAAGTGGGTAGCAAAAACGATATAAGAAGTGACTAAATACAATTCGGGTCTGGGAATAGTGTGATCAATAATAGACAACTCTTCTAGGTACATTGGACTATAGAAAATTCGACGTCTCACACGGACAGTGGTATATTCAGACCCAAAATCATCCACCCTCTTCGTCATCAGGCACAGTGCTATTGAAGAGCAGCATACCCGTCGCTAGAGCTTTGATGATAAAGCCAACCATCAGGGTAAGACCCGGCCCGTTATTCTTATAAACCGCCGCGCCAATAAAACTCCCCGCCACCAGAGCAATCAGAAACCCCACGCGACGATTCCGCCCGATATTCTTCGCCGGAGCGGCAAAAAGCTGCGGATCAATCAGGACGTCTACGAGGGCTGCCGTGGCCATCGTAGTCGTCAAGTCCGACATCATCAGGCCGCGCACCATGCTGACTTGCCCACCTGCTGCCACAGCCTGCAGAGCAAGAGCAGCTCGTCCGATTGGCGTGTCGGATTTCCTTGCGGCGGCATACCCGAGCTGGATGCCTGCAGCGGACGCGACAATGGCAGTCTGGAGGCTGGAAGAGACGAGGAGCCACCATTTCCGACGCACGGAGCGGAGCAGGCACGCGACCTGGCCGAAGAAGATTGCGCCAGCGAGGAAGGCACCGAGAGAGATTGCAATAGGGACGATGGTGTGAGAGAGGCGGTCGTCAGAGGTGAGGTGGAAAATGTGGATGGCGAAGAGGACAGTGTTGCCTGTTTGGTTGGAGGCGAAACACTGGAAGATGGGGTAGGTTGCTGAGTCTTGGATGCCAAACGAAAGGGCGAGGAGGAGGACTGTAGTCTCGAGGAGGTGGGATTTAGGGTTTATATCTCGGCGGAAATTGAAGAAAGATTTCCTCTGGGATACTCGTCCAAGCATGGCTGTCAATGATCCAGAGTTGCTGCTCATGAGCCGCTAATTGGTGGAGAGGGTGCCGTAAAGTAGGCACAAAGCTGTGCCTTAGGCGGCGGTAAAGAAGAGGGTGAGGGGTGCGTATGTATGAGCTATTTGCTATCTAGCTCGGACGTGACTCGGACGTGAGTGGTAGCTGCAGTAAGTTGTATTTACTGCTGCTGACGAGGCCGTCGAAGGCGTTGCTGTTGCCGCCGATGCCGCCACGACCACCGCCGCTGCTTCCGCTACCACTGTCTCTTTTGCAAGAAGCAAACAATGTTCGACGAGTAATAGGCGACAGGCGATAGGCACCAAGCGATGGGCGATGAGTGATGGGCGGATGTTTACGGAAATCCGTCGCGAGGCGTGGATGGTCGAGCAGATTTAGTGTTCCTCACATGACCTCTATATGCACCTAGCTTCCGGTCAATGCACCCGCTGGTCCGCATCTATTTTGGATGGACCAGGGTGCGCTTGCGTCGGCTTATACCTACACTGGATATATAAAGTTTATGAACAAATGCGTGGTGTTGAGTAGTTGTACTTGCGCTAGGGAATCTAAGGCTCTATATAACCACTAGCTATCTACCCGGAAGAGTTCCGCTGAACAACTAAATGCATAATGTAAAGTGGTAGGCTGGTACTACCATGTCCCTCTAGAATCTTCTGAATATATAAATAGGCTTGGGGCAAAACTACTTAAGACCTATTGTTTTTCAATCCCGAACATAAGTTATACATATTATAATCATGCAATAATATGCAGCTGGCCGCCGACATAAACTTTATTCAGCAGTAGGTGATATCTCATCCATTTTACGTAGAGATGAAAAGAAAACTAACTCCGCTTTGATACTTGACAGCAGTACATCACTTTAATGGAGCATAGCTTCAAAACTATTTGTCCTCAGCCTCAGCAGCCCTCCACCAAGAGTTGGCATCTATCGACAACGTCAGTAAGAATGACTGGCAACGAAATATATGAATAAACTTACGGCTGTCAATCACTGGGACGTCAATGACCTTGCGAGCCTCGGCTTTCTTATTGTGATCGACATTGAAGGTCTTGTTCCGCTCCGCCATAGCTTCGTCCAAGTCAACCTGCGACGGATGCGTCGCCGAACCCATTAAATGAGGATAACCTGCAAACAACAAACATCAGCTCACTGAATTTCACGGAAAGTACGCAGCCGACTTACCAATCGGGAACTCATGGCCCGCATCAATCTCCCAGAAATGCCACGTCTTGCCATACAAACCCACGATTTCCCTCATGGCCTCCAGCTCCGCCTTCTCCCACTCATCCTCATCCTTCGACGCAGGCTTTGGCAATATCAGCATTCCCGACTTGACTTCGAAGTCGTGCGAGTGCCAGAGCTTCTTCTCCTCTGGAGGGAAAGTCTCGTACACAGACTTAGGGACCATGTACTCGACGCCGATGAGACGGGCGTTCTTCTCGTGGGAGTCGTAGATGAGGCATTGGCGGAGGTCTACTGGCTGGTTAGATTATTGATCAAAATGAGGAGGACCAGTCGGATAATTGGACTGCTCGCCTTTCCGCACGTGAGAGCAGAAGTGCGTGGCGGGAACGTAGCGGGTCTTTCCCTGACGCGCTTCATCTGCGTAGATGTGGATTGCGGTGAGGAACTCGCAAATGTTGTGGAGGGGCTTGAATTCCTGTCGTGGCGAATTAGTCGGAGAAAGACATTTCTTGATGAGACGGATACTAACAGCGTTAGGGCCGCACATTTTGATTGTGGTGGTTGTATATTTCGCGTTGAACAATCCAGAAATGGACAATGGAAGAGACAATGAGCTTTGAGATGCGGTCTACATTTCGACCACCATTTGGAATATATATCCATTGACTCCCCGAAACCCCGAAACAAGCTCTCTATTTTCCGCCGTCAAATCCGGAGCATATTCATGGAAGCTGGCGAGTGATTGAGACTTCGTAAGCATTACGTAGCTAACCGTTGCAACATCGGCGAACTGCTTCGGCGACCTACGGGGCACATGGGGGTTCGACGGCGGGGTTGGACACTGCTGCCCGAGAAGGCCCGGTTTTGTATTCGTGCCTGCTATAGCACAACTGTTAAAGTTCGACTCACTCGAATACTAGTAATGAGCAAAGGATAGTTTGGATTGACCTTCGCAGAATGAAGTTTCTGGTATCTTGGTATATCTGGACCAAAGGATTCAACATCACTCCCTATCCACATCCACCGCGCTACGCCTCCTTACGCTTGTACCGGCAAAAAACATCAGCCTTGCACCTGGCTCTGATGCGCTGAAATTCCTTCTCATCTCCCGCCCCCGCCGCCTTCCCAAGCGTCCACAGCACATCCTCGTAAACCTCTTCGAGTTCCACATTCACGTCCATGAGCCAGACGATGAACTTGGCGAGTTCTTTGCGGAGCATCGCGGGCGTGGAGCCTGGCGTGAGGGGACGGAGCGCCGACCTAGCGACATGAGACGCTGTTGGTTGCGAGCGCTGGTGTGCACGCATCCAGTGAGGCAATTGTTCAGCCGTGTCGTGGAAACGCACTTGTTTGCGGGCGCGACGACGAGGCGCGCGGGTTTCCTCTCCAACATCGCTGGGCTCGACATCTTCTTCGGATGGTGAGTTGCGCGGCTTGCGCTTGTTCTGCCGATCTTCTCCGGCAGTGGCGCCTGGCGATGTTTCTGCGGAGCGAGCAGCGGGAGAAGTAGCAGGGGCCGCAGCAGAGACCGTAGCATGAGCAGCGTGAACAACGGGCACAGTAGTGGCAGCAACAGCGGGTACGGCATCTTCGTGTTGGCGCGTTTCCACGGTTGGGGCCGGCACTTCCGTTGCCTCTTCCGCCTCCGTTTCCTCGCCGTCCAGGTCAAGACCAAGCTGCATCCATGCCCGTCTTGCGTTCTGAGCACCAGGAGCGGCCGCCGACTGTCCATCAGGACGTGTACGGTCAGGGTTATTTGTAGAGGTTGCTTCATCGTATCCGGGCGGGAGAGCGGCAAAGGGCTCAACAACCTCTTCGCTAGCTGTTTGGTGCTCTTGCTGTACGGCAACGGAGAATGCTGTAGACGGTCCAGCTTCCTCGGCTTCTACGACCTTTTTCTTAGCCTTTGGCTTTTGACAAGCGGTTTTCAAGTCAAAGTTCTTCCACACGTTCCATTGGGCGCCATCTTTGTAAGCGGATTCGAAGTCAATCTTGTGGGTCACCATCTGCTTGGTAGCAACCAGTTCACACAATTGTTTCGCGGCCAGATCGCAGGGAACCTCCTTCTTGTCCATAGATAGAAAATTCTTGTCTTTAAGCGGGATGTAGATACAGAAATCTTTAGCTTGAGAGAGAGATTGCAGGCCTTGCAGTAGATCCCTGGCTTTGTCGGAAGCGGGAAAGAATGGGGTATCAGTTCGTGGCATGAGCACGTTGCCACATGTTTTGAGTTTGAAACGCAGGCGATAGATGGCGTCGAGCGGACCCAGATTGGCCTCACTCAAGGCACAAATAGTAGGCGGCAGAAGGCGCAGGTCAGTCACAGGCTGCGTCATGAAACAGCCTTGCTCGAGGGCGAAGTCGAACATGTCCGCTTGGATAACGAAGAACAGTGTTTTGGAACGCGGATTGTGAGAATGCCAGTGGTGTTTGACTCTGACAACTATGTGAAACCAGAGGAGAAGTTCTGGTTTGGAGTGCGTATCGAGCCTCATCGTCATCTGGAAGGAAGTGTCTTTCGTGTTGCCTAAGAATCGCGGCTTGCCAGCCTTGACATCGTCCCATTCGGCAATCACACGCTCTGTGATGCGGTCTGTCTCGTTGTTTTTCGGAGTCATTTTGACTTCGGAATTTTAGATCTGACTTAATTCGGATATCTGCGAGGACAATTATTAGTAAGGGCTCAGATACCTTCAGACTGCACAACGATCGCCATAAGCGAACGATGACCCCCACACAAGTTGGTGTGAGATTCCCGCCCAACCCAGGCTTTGCGACTCCGAAGCAGCCTTGACTCCGATGGGCCGGCGGTGAGCCATGTCCCTGGACGGACCTTGAAACAGCCTGACCTATGCGCAGAGCGCCGGTCTCAATCCGGGAGATACTTGGCCTACCTAGTATGGGAGACGTTCAGTCTGCCCTATACAGGAGACACTCGACCTGCCCAGCACAGCAGACAGCCAAGACGAGAGTTACTTGGTCCGTCTGTAACGAGAGCCCACGCCCACTCGCGGGAGACACAACGTCTGCCAGATATAGGAGAAACGCCGACTGCCTGGTATGGGAGACCGGAGCCTGCCCGTTACAGGAAATAGACGTCCTACCAATACTAGAGACGGTGCCTACCCGTACAGGAGGCGATGTTCGACTCGAAACGGAGGTCACTTGAACAACCCGACTGGCAGTCCTGCAGTTGAGGGCTGAGGTGTGCGTCCAAGGGACAGTACGAAAAGAGAGTGGATGACAGCCTGGCCGACTTTTGGATGAGTTAGCGCACTAGAGCGGAAGATAAGGATGAGTATGACGCGACCGCGCCGTCACAATAATAGCCGCGACGAGGCTGTCGGCCCACATGGAAGACACGCACCTTATAGCACAGGCGCCGATGAAGCCTTGTAGGTGATGACAAGGGCAGCAGCGATGGGCTGCGATGAGCGTGATGGGAGGTTGTCGCGATGAAGTTGCGACGTCGGTTGAAGCTTTGCTTGGTTCGTGCATGACCGCACGTGATGTCGCGTAGACGTGATCGCGCATTCGATCCTCATCAATACTCCTCTTCTCTCAGTGTAAGTACGCCGTACACCAAGCCCAAGATCTATCTATTCCTTGAGCTGATGCTCTCCACGCCTGATAGCAACAAAGCAAACATCGCGTTTACAGACCCACCCCCTGACTTCCCGTGACACAACAAAGCTAATCCCCAATGCAGAACGACATCAGTCATGACAAGATGAATACACTTCTCACAGCAATGGCTTGGACGGCTTCTTCGCTATGTGTGGGAAGACGTGTGCCAGTCCGTTATTGCCCGAACTTCCTTCAGGCACCTTCGGCTGCTGGTCTTCCGGGATGTCTCCTGGCGTGTCAGCTTTGCTCTCGCCCTTATCCGTGACGTTGCCCATATTCGACGTCCTTCCAAGCTCTGTCTTTACAGACTCGGCCTTGGGTTTACCGTCATGTCCTTGGACCCAGTCTTGGGAAAGCTTGAGTGTCTGCTCGACCTCACGGCTCAACTTATCTACCTCGGCGTCGAGTGACTCATCCTTCGTCTTCGGAGGTTCACGGCCAAGCTCTGAGGCGACTTTGGGCGCTGTTTGAGCCCAGAGTTCTTCCAATTCTTCGAGCCAACCGCAAGCCTCGGCCAACTTCCGGACACCATCATCGCAGTCTCCTAGCAACAGCACGTCGTCGCCACGGGCGCCGAGGCTGCCGACTTGTTCCTGGTTGATGAGCAGTCGCGGAACACTGTGGCTAACAAAACTCGGAAGGCTCGCGAACGGCTGGACGGTCAGACTCGTACCCATCACAATAGCCAGATCAGCCTCGCCTGGTAGGTCCCTGTTGTCGAAGAACGCAGCGGGAAGTTGTTCACCGAAAAAGACGATTTCCGGCTTCACGAGGCCGCTACAATCCTTGCATTTTGGCACATCCTTCTTCTGGATGGCCACCTTCATCTCATCGTCGGGAAACTGGGCGTGGCAGTCGATGCAGCTCTGTTGCGCGAAGCTACCGTGGGCCTCAACGATCTTGTCGCCCGGCACACCCGCCTCTCGCTCCAAGCAGTCAATGTTCTGGGTGAAGAGCTTGAGCAGGATGCCCTTATCATGCAGCAAACGGATGAATGAGTGTGTGATGGTCGGCCGGTATTTGCCCGGGTACAGCTCTTGCGCAAGCGTGTAGAAGGGAAGCGGGTTCTGGCGGAAATACGAGATGTCGAAGACAGCTTCGGCGTACGGAAGGTTCAGGCGGGCTAGGTTCGCGTAAAGACCGGTGTCTGGGCTCCGGAAGTCGGGTATGCCAGCTGAAGTACTGATTCCCGCGCCCGTCTGGCTGGTGTCAGTCGTGGCGTCGGTGCGCGGAAGCTGGGCGAGAGGCGAACCATGACGACTATCTTCTTGGCTTTTCCATCCTTGATGTACTTTGCAAGCCCCTTGAGCGTCCTGCTCTCAAGCACCTCTGGAGCCTTGGTTTCGTCGACAATGGAGCTTTCTTCCTGACCCATCCTGGAGCGTCTTCCCTTTCCCTTGCCTGATAGCCACGGCTTGCTGCCCTGGCGGTGTGGTTTATGTCTGCGGCCTATTTTGGCGAAAGGCTCTAGCCAGCTGCGGAGGGTGCGATACACTGGTAGCGGAAAACGGTGTGGAAATTGTTGCCTATGACAGCGTCATATCGAATCCACCAACCCACCCCGCGCCAAGCCCGGCTGACTCAACTACCGAATTGATGCCGGCCACCTTGACTCACGCGTCAATCAGCTTCCTTCCCGACCGCGTCATTCTCCTCCGCTCCTTCTAATCTAGCTATGGAGAGAATTATTATACTAAATACTGTTGTTACATAATCACTCCCCCAGACTGTCTTCCACTTTGGTATCAATCTCCAATCTCGTTTGCGGGTAGAATGGAATGCTTCACTGGGGCATCCTCCTTCCATTGGATTCTGGTTCCTGGTCCTTGCCATTATCGCTATGCTTTCCCGAAGCAGGTGCGTCAGAAATAGTGCGCGCCTCGAAAGCCGGCTCAGCAGAGGCCTTCTGAACATCCGGCTTTTGACACGAATACATAAATCTAGGCTTATTGTTAGCTTCTCGTCGCAACGACAGGGCTTGGAGGTGGGCAAGAGTACATCGGCGCATAGTAACGGCCCTCCTTCAGATCTTTCCGCGCATGAGCAAGGCGCACTTCGATCTCCTCGCGAGACATGCCCAAATTTCTGCTAAAGACGGCAGTCGAGATGCCTTGGAGACCAGATTTCAGGTTTTCGACAGCGTATGCGCCCAACTTCTTCTGCTCCTCTCCCTTAGGCCAGATTCCCAATGGCCACTGCACGTCTTTTCTCCGCACGTTCACGAAACCTTGGCCGCGCAGCAACTCTTCGAACCGCAAACAAGCCTTCGTGTCAATGCCAACCTTTGCCGCACCTTGCCTCACAAGATCCGACCATTCCAGCAATGGCGACTTAGCAATCTGCTCCAGATCCTGAGGACCGTGGCCCGCGGCGCCCCACGGAAACATGATTTCGCGCACTTCGAGCCAGCCACCGGGCTCCATGTTTTCCCAACACTGACGGAAGAAGCGCGGCCAGCTGTGCATACCCATACACAGCATGCGCACGTGCACAAAGTCGAACTTCTGGTCAAATGCCCACTCCTTCTCGGCATTGTCGACGAGGAAGCTGCAGTTAGGCGGCACGAAGCTGGGCTGCACGGGAGAGAGATCGGTGCCTATGACTTGAGCGCCAGGGTGCTCCTCGGCGAATTGGATGGACCAGACGCCGGTGCCACAGCCTTGGGTTTGGTGAGCACCTGCATCCCAGATCAGACATTTGGACCCTTGTGGCCTGACTTACCGACGTCCAGGACTGACTGCACCGAGTCGGGGATTGGCGACATGTATAGCGCGCCCTTGAGCACCATCTTCCACATTTCGTGCTGCAAGTCCAGCCGATCCAGTTCATCCTCGTCATTTGGCAGGTAATAAGCTGACCGCATACATCAGACCTTGCGACATAACAGGATGCCCCTGGCTGGATCCTTACCGCCGTCATCGTAGGCATGGTAACGCCTTCCGTTCTCATAGCGGTAGTCCGTCGCGGCGCTCATTGCCGAAGTGAAAGCCCTGGAAAGAATCAGACATCCCCATCTGAAACACAGACAACCGGGGTCCCGCACGATAAGACGCTCTCACTGTCATCGCCATAAGCCGAATCGGTCTGCGCAAATCAGCAATTGATCGCGTGCCAAGGAAGAGCCCAAGGCCGGAACTCACGTCGATCTCGAGATGCTGACCAAGAAAGGACGACGAGCCACTCGTCGAGGCTCCCTCATCGCCTGGGTCAGTCATTCATGCGGTTGTAAGTTTGGAGTGGTGTGCAGATACGAGCAGGATTGTCTGATCTGCCATCGAAGGAGGGGCTGCACGGCCCGCCCCACCCCCTCTGCACGTGGCGTGTCCCTGCCGCTTGTGGATCCGCCCGGTCCGCCCGGTTGATTTGACGGTTGAATGTCGGCTATTTCTACTATCTCGTCAATTGAAGCACTACTTTATCATGGAAATGTGCATGTCATTGTCTGCCTTTTTAGCTGTGGCACTGGCTATCTTAGAGAATCAAAGCCAAGTCTACATATCTCCAATGACCTTGGTGAGCATCTCCAGCGCCTTCTTCAAGCCCATGCTCCCAACCACTTCTGCCAAGAACATGCCGTTGTCCTCCATAGGAGGCACAAGCACAGCATGGCTTGCCAACTCCGTTCCCCAACCGTACTCCAAGAGCCTGTAGTATCCGCCTCTGTTGTTGGTGAATTTGAAGGTATCAAGTGAGAATCTTTCTTGAATCATCTTCAGGACCTCGCGCCATTTTCCCTCATACAGCCACATGCGATTGAATGCGACGTTGCGGATAGTGTGCTCGTACTTGGTTAGAAGACGCTCAAGGGACGTCTGCGTAGTTTGCAGGCCTTGGAGGCTCAAGGTACGAAGGGTTTGCGGTGGGTTTTCGGAGGCCAAGTTGTTCAGAATCATGCTTCCGAAGCGTGCGTCGTTCATGTTGCTGGCTCGGAGCTTCATCTTGAGCGTTTCCAGCTGTGGGATAGCTGAAATGAGAACACTCTGATTCCTAAAAGCTTGAGTCGCTGTAAGGGCTTAGGTCAGTATGAGGAACTGCAAATGGATCGAGATTTGATTTGGCACTCACAGCACAATCCCACATCGCAAATTAGCTCGAGATGGCGAATGTTGGAAAGCCCTTCCCGGTTCCATGAAGATTCCGGGTACAACTCTGTGTTGAGCACCAGGTGCTCCGCTGTGTGCTTGCTCTTTGGCCAAGGCGTTCGTTAACAGCTTGAATGTCCATCCAGGTAGCGAGACTCTCGGATCGCAGGGGCGAAAGCTGTTCTTGTAATCGTGCGTCGGATCCCAGAATTCGTCTTGGAAGCGGATGCAGTTTAGTCCTGGTAAACCGTTGAGAGCTTCGGTGAGGAGAGACCCAAGTGCTACGCGATCCACTTCACACGCATCTCGAATCAGCTCTAGCTGCCCCAGTCGGACCCTGTTGCGGTTGTCATAATCCTGGTCGCCGTTCGGCTTCCGGTTCTAGAGCCTCCGATACTCTTGTTAGTTGAAGTTGACGCCATACAGAGTGATCCGGTGCACTGCATTTGCGAGACGAGACTTGGAGAGTTCGAGAAGGCGCGAGAGGTCTTCTTTGTTGATTCGAATGGCGAACTTCCTCGGGCGCTGATGAAAGGCCTTCTCGGTCTTCTGTTCCATATCACGGCAGACAAGCCTGAAGTTGCAGAGGTCCGCGAAGTCTAGACCGGTGGCGACAATGAAGACAATATCTTCCGGGAGCTTGACTAGTGCGGAGGATTGTTCGGTTTAACGCGTTGGGCGTCCGGGCGCCTCACTGTCCGCCATGATAGGCAGCTGGAGGCTGGTCGAGGTTTTTGGTTGTTGTGGGAGTGGTCGGGCTGTCGACGTTTTTAAGCCTAAGAACACGATTCAATGACGTGCGCTTCTGAAAGTGAAAGTGAAAGTGAAGTGTTTCGAGGTCGCTGTTTATGTAAATATTGGCTTGTGTTACACAGCAGGCAACAGCTCATACGCATTTGCCGTATCCCTGCTAGCCTCCTTTCACGTGCAAATTATTCTATCGTCGTTGTCAAACACTATATATTTTCGCAAAGGACATAGCTCAAATAGTCTATTGTTTCTGGCCCAGATCTTGGCCTGGTCATTTCTCCGGTGCGCTCAATATCAAAGATTGGTTCAGAATTTAACACCATGACACTGTTGGTACAAGAGAAAATAGGCCACCCGTTGTATCTGGTGCAAAACCAGCAACTATGTTGTAATCAAATGACTGAAACCCCGACTGTGCATTTCTTCAACAATATGCAAAAGACTGTTGTCCACAGGCTAGGCCGAACAACTATCCGAAGAGAGCATTCCCCCGTATAACGGTTTACAGTATAGTACGGCCGAGTTCGTTTATCCACACTCACCAAACTAAAGTTCGCGGAGTAGCTTGCTGTAGTGCGGTGCGATGGGTTCTTGGCCAGATAACGCTGCTGATAAGTCTGAAATGAGCATCTGCACGAGTGACGCTGTCTGTGGACATTTTTAAGCGGCGATTACACCAGAAGCTTCGGCTTTGTAAAGGAAGACAGCGGAGCGAATTTCATCTCTGTTTAAATCACCGACGATCTTCTGTAGGTTGTAGACGGACAAGTGTGACACTTGTAGTTGTATTCGGGATTTGAGCGACGAGGAAAGCTGCTCCGATCAGTATTTTCATCCCCGTCACGAAAGCTTCGGAACATTATCCCGACCCGAACAATATGGCTCCTTCTTTCATAGACGTCTATTCATTTTCCAACACTGACTGCCATGATATCAGATTGCAAAAAGACGCCATATGGCCACTATCAGCCAGCTGAACCAAAGAATTCGAAACTGGAATACAACTTCGGCCTAATGGCACCTGAAGCCATTGGTTTCCTAGTGCCCACCACAGCCGATACGCCAATGAAGACCATGAGACAGAGGTTTGCCCAAGATGGCTACCGTTTCGTGCGTAAAACTACAACTTACAGACATAGCAAGACTATCAAATCTAGGGTCAAAATTCTGATGCCGCGAGACACCGCTCTTCAGTGTCGCCTGGCATATTTCGAGCACATGGCACCCTCCAACCTGCTCAAACCTAACATCTACTCCGGCGCCGAACGCAAATACCTCCCACCGGGAAACCTACGAATGTTTGGACTGAAGGACGACCCGGAATCCGACAAGTATGTCGAGTTCATGATCTCCGCGCACATAACGCCCTTCTACCTCAATTTCTACGAAAACAAGGAGCTCCACGAGCTTGTTCGCCGCTTCACAGTCTGGGAGAAAGAGGTCATGTTGCACCGGACAATATTGTGGGCGTTCGCTCCTAATTTGCGAATTTACGCCTGTGCATTACGACCACATGTACCTCTGTGGTGGGTCACCGGCAAGCCTCACGGCGTGGGTGCCACTTGGAGACGTTTCGCTTAAAGGAGGGGATTGATGTATCTAGAGAAGTCTGTAGATATCCGCCAAATCACTGATGACGAGTTCGCACGGAACGCGAGCAACTCGACGAAGGAAGAGCGCACATTAGCGTTCAACAAGACCGTGAACGACGGCGCATTTTGAGAAGAGACACAAAGGGCTACGGTCTAATGGCTAAGTGCAAGTAGCTTATCACGGATTATGAATCCGGAGATCTCATCTTCCACAACCCTTCCTTGTTCATGGCATCAGATAATTTGCCCACCCCGCCTCGTAGCATCTATAGAATTATATGATTGTTTTCTACTCTTTAAACTTTTAAGTCTCTATACTCTTGCAAATTCCTTTATACCCTTATAGATACTCTAGCAGTGGTATGTATCTATACCTCTATACCCTTTAAAAATAGTTTAGAACCCTTATATATTTTTACCGTTATATATTTTTAATACTATTATATATTATATTTTTTTACTTTCATATTGGTATAAAGTGCCTACTAGCTGTATAATTACAGTCTAGTTATAACTACCTAAAGAGTACGCTACAGGTATCGTAGATTTTTCTCATCATGTAGTTAAGGGGTGGGCAAAGTATCGGGGGCTAAGAAGTAAACTTACATGTCCAAGAACGTCTCTTCTGTTCTACATCATCTTCTTGATCTTTACTACTCTTAAAAGAGCTTTTATCCGAGATTGGAGGGAGGTCGGTCGCTTTTTTTACTTTTTCCATCTTTTGAACGTGTCAAAACGCCGTCTTCAAGGCATGCTCCGTGGAAATTTGTGAGATAATAGATAGTTTCTTCTTCTCCCTCTTCTTTCTTTATCTTTAGAAATCCTCCTAGTGTATCTATGCTGGTCGTTGATTTGCCACTATCCGAGTCGCCTATTCTTACTGGACCATCCGGATCCCACATGTCGATGATTTCGACGTATACGAGTCGGGGAAGAACAGCGCCAATTTCTCGAGCGGCCTTCTCCCAGCTGGACTTCCAATCGGCTCCAGGTTTTGCGCAGACGAGGATTGTCGTTACTCGTTGACAATCTTACATCTTAGTCCACCGCGAAACAAGGTCCAAAGTCACTACTTCTATTTTATAGAGCTGGAGAATGCAACCAGGTCCCGTATTCCAGTCCATCCCCATTGTAGCCCATGAGGATCTGGGAAGCTCCGCAGACGCAATACGCTTCATGGGCGACGAGGAAGCCATTGTAAAACGCGCTGGGACAAACGGTGATGCGGAACGACAGTAAGGTTCAGAAGAAAAACCTTTTTTCGCATTTCGCGGGAACTTCACTGAGGATATTATCTCTGGGGTAAACTTTATTTGCACTTTGTCGAAAATAATGCCAATTTCGTTTCTATAACATCCCGCAACACGTATTTGGCTACGCAAAATTCATTAAGGATTGAGCTGTTGCAACAATACAATCGTCTTGTTTCAATTCAAATACTTTCTTGCCATAATGTGCATGCTATCGATAGGTTTTAATTTCATGCCAATGAAAAACAGGTGCTTCCAAAACCACGCGTCCATTCCTCAGGCCGATCTGGACCCGCACATCAATGATCTACCCAAAGCCATGCCTTGCATGAGAAACCTTCTAATGTAGACGTTGCTAAATGCCACTGGCCCGGAGGCCGCTCTGACGTAAATTCGATTGTCCCTGCATCCCAGGCCCACTCTGCTAGGTTTGTGCCACCTCGAGCTCGTTGAATTTCTTCAGAGTGTGAGTAAGGTAGGCATCTGCGACCAAAAATTACATGAAGAAGCACATAATATTGTAAAACCAAAAAAGTAAGAGACAGATTAAAAGCCAATATATGTGTCCCAGCCTTCGCCCGAGTTGCCGTCAAACAGCGTACGGTTTAAATTAAGATGTAGCCAACAACCCCAGCTTTACGCGGCTACAAAGGAAACCCTGCGAGGGAAAAGCACAAATCGGAGCCGAACTCTTCCGATAGTCCCCAAAGCCCCAGATACTTCGCCGCCGCCCCGCCACTCAGACCGCTCCCAGTGAGTACGGATAAGACGCACTATCGGCCCCGCTTGAAGAGATCATTGACCTTGGCCTTTCGAACGACTCTGTAAAAGACACGTTTCCCGTCTATCTTAACATACGCTCCCATACCTCGCCTGCCTTTACCTTCTTGGCACACAGCATTTTGGTCGAGACACGAAACGATCTGCGAACCAGTCTTTTGGTCCGTGCCTTCTGAGAAACAATCCGCGACATTTGGCTGGTTAGCTACAGAGCCCAAGTCTGACTTGCATTGATCTTCTTGTGCTTGGGTCGGCGTGGTATTTGCGGTGCCTCCATCGTCTAATGAGTTGCAAGATGCGGGTAGCGCGGTTGTGCAAGTCGGTTGAGCCGATGTCGTGGTCGAAGATGTACCTGTAGATGTTGAGTAAGTTATTGGCGAAGATGAAGAAGATGAAATGGAAGAAGTATCTGAAGGTGTAGAAGACGATGTTGAAGCAGGTGGCGAATTAGATTCATCAGGGGGTACAGATGATGAAGATGTAGCGGAAGACAGAGAGGAAATATTGTCTGAGGATGTAGAGTGCGTATCTGAAGGTGTAGAGGAAGTAGTATCTAAGGATGTTGAGGTTGTATCTGAAGATGTAGTTGAAGATTCATTTAAAGACGTCTCTGAAGACACATCTGAAGATGTACCCGAAGGTGTAGGGGAAGATGTAGAGGGGGGCGTATCTGAGAATGTATCTGAAAATGTTGAAGAAGATGAGGAAGAAGAGAGGGCTGCAGAAGAGGGGGATTTTTCTAAAGGGGAAGTGGATGCATCTGAAGATATATTTGAAGAAGTATCCGAAGACGTATCGGAAGGTGTAGAGGAAGGTGTAGAGGAAGGTGTAGACTCAGACATATCCAAGGATGTATCTGAAGACGCAGAGGTAGGCATATCAAAAGATATATCTGAGGGTGTAGAGGTCGGGGAGAAAGGAACGGGAGAAGACATGGGTTCTGTGTCGAAGGAGGTAGTGGATACGTCCGAAGACATATGTTCAGGTGCATCCGAAGTTGTAGAAAACATTTCTGGGGAAGTTGAGATTGCTTCAGGAGGAGGTGAAGAGGTGAATGAAAACTCAGAAGAAGAAAGATTTGATAACATACCCGTATTTGTAGTCGTAGTTGATTGCACCTGTTCACCATCAGCTACTGTGCTACTATTGTCTTCAATAACGGGATTTGTCATAGAGTCTTCAGATTGCCCCGGAGGACTAACGGATGACTCCGTGGGTGACTCCACAGGTGGTGTCTCAGTCGGCTCTTGAGACGGTTGGTTCATCTCAGACGATCTTTCAGTCATCAATTCTTCAGATGATGAAGTGATCGTCGACAAAGAAGAGCGTGAAGACCCAGAAGTCACCGGCGGTGGTATTTCTTCCTCCTGGGGTGAACTTACAGTCGAGATAGCTGACTGGCCTCCATCAACTGTACTCGCGTAGACAGTGCCAGAGCTAGTATACGTTACAATTTGTCCCGCGGTATAGGTGGTAATTGGTGTAGCACCATCTCCAATGTAACTCATATAAACGACGTTGGCAGTAGTGGTCGTTGTGGTTGAGAAAGTAGAAACTGCAGTAGCTGCGCCAACGGGGCCTTGGTATACAGTGCCCTGGCTAGTATAGGTAGTCTGTGGTATGGTTGAGATTGGTGTCGCTGTATTCCCCTGCCCAACGGTACTAGCATATACGATGTTCCCACTCGTATAAGTAGAGACGGGAATAGTTGAAACTGGAGACGCTGTATTCCCTGGCCCAACGGTACTGGCATACACAATATTCCCGCTAGTGTAGGTAGAGACTGGTATGGTCGAAATTGGTGTCTCACTCCCCCCTCCAACAGTACTGGCGTAGACGACGTTGCCACTGGTGAATGTGGTCACCTGGGCAGAAGTTTGCGGTATCGTCGAAATCGGTGTCTCTTGGCTACCTCCGACAGTACTGGCGTAGACAATAGACCCGCTAGTGTATGTAGTTATTTGGTCCGGCATTATTGTTGAAATTGGCGTTTGTTCGTCTCCTCCAATGGTACTAGCGTAGACAATAGACCCGCTAGTGTACGTGGCCACGGATGCTTTTCCAGGAGGCAAAGTCGAAATTGGCGATGCCGTGCTGTCTCCGATTGTACTAACAAAGACGACACTGTTGCTGGTATAAACTGTCGTTTCTGGAGAGCTGCCCGCACCCCCACCAAACCCTTCTATTGTTGAAATGGGAGTGGGTGGCGAATCTCCACCGACCTGACTTCCGTATACCACACTGCCGCTGGTGAATGTTGTGCTGGATAGCGTCGCAATGGGACTAGCTTGGGCACCCCCATCAACCTGGCTGGCATAGACAATGCTGCCACTTGTGAAAGTCGTCGTTGCTCCCGGAGGAACTGGAATGGTTGAGATAGGTGAAGCGGGCGAACCTCCTCCAACTCGGTCGGCGTAAATGACACCGTTCCTTGTGAACGTTGTGGCGGGTGGCAAGGTTGAGATGGGGGTAGCTACCCCTCCTCTGATAGAACTCGCAAAGACAACGTCATTGCTTGTGAAGGTGGCCACGGCCGTTGGTCCAATTTGGCTGACGACGACGTTTCCGTCACTTCCAGTAAAAGTGGTGAAAACTAGTGATGCTGAAATATCTCCAATTTGGCTCACGTATACAGCACCGTCGCTTGTAAAAGTTGATGTGGCCGCAGGCGGCACCTCACTCACGACAACGCGGCCATCGCTAGTAAAAGTCGTGAAACTTCGTGGCGTTGGTAGCGCGCTCACAAAAACCGCTCCGTCACTTGTGAACGTGGTCGACGCCGCAGGTGCTCCGCCGGTGGCAGTTGGGCTTATGAAGACAGTACCATCGCTTGAAAAGGTGGTGAATTGGGCATTGTAGGCAGCGCGACGTCTAGACTCCTCGAACGGGATCCTAGGAGGAAATTCCAGATCTGACAAGTCGGTTATAGGCGGAAGGGTTCCCTCGACGGTGACTTCAGACTCAAGCGGTCCAGTGAGACAGCCCGTTACCGTTCGCGTGTCAAAGCGTGTGTCGAATCTGGTTGCGGCGGTGACCAGGGTGTTGACAGTGGTAAGCCCGTCGGTGACAGTTACCGTGACATCCTGGCCGACAACGATTGTTTCTGGACCAGTGAGGACGGTCGAGACCTGAACTGGGATTTTGTAGATAATGATTTGTCTGTTGACTTCAATGTAACTGGTGGTGGTGCATTCAGCTGTAGTTACAGCTTGCCGAGGGCGCAGGAAGCCCCCAGCTACGGCCAGGGGCCAAGCGAGCAAAGCGAACGAACGGATGAGCATCTGTGCAAAGATTGAAACAGTAAGAAGAAAGTTTGGCACGACGGTAAAAGAATGGCGCAGCTCTGTGAACCACAGAGCATGAGAGAGTCGCAGGCGAGGTCGGGAAGCATGGAGGGCATGATTGATTCATTTAAATATCTCGCTGTAGAGTGTTTTCGCAAGTTGTGGAATAACATGACAAGGGTGAAAAATGGACATGAGGAATGGCGTCGATGCTCTACGGGAGATCGACGGCGGCTATATGGCGTTCTTGCGTTGGTTTTTTGCCAGGAGAGCCTAAGAGGGAACTGGACTAGTCAAACGAGAGCAGCGGATGTAGCCAGCGTGGGTCTAGGCATACTTGATCTCCGGGAGGACAATGACAATGACCAGGCATTGCGTTGCGTTGCAGCGATGCCCGGCAGCTTGGCATGAGAATGTGTCAGGTACGAAGGAGGTGGTGCGGCGGTGCGGCGCTTTTCTGCCCTTTGTCACCGCCTCGGCTAGCCTGCCGATCGACCGCTTGTCGTCATTGACTCGACACGCTTTCGCGCCGCCCTCCCAACACCACAAGCCGCTCTCGTCGGCCACTCTCAGCCTTTGCTGACTTGTGTCTTCTCTTCTGCATATTCTTCCCCTGTAGCAAAACTAGTTATACTCTCCCGACCCGTCGTCTCTAACGAGGCCTCTTCAGCCTAGGCGTTAGAATTGCCTAGCAGGGGAATAGGTTCGAAGGGTTTACCTTAAAGGATAAGAAGTGTAGAAAGTTAAGGGATAAGTTACGTAAAGGATCGGGTGTAGGCGTGTTACTATTAACCTTTAGTAGAGATTAATACTTTAAGTTGACTATAGAGGTTCTATCTACTACTTATTAATTAATTAATTAATTAAGTTAAGTTAAGTTATATTTATTTACCCTAACCTATCGCCCTAAGCGATATATAGGCTACGACTATTTAAAGAGTTTTACTACTAGTTTATATATAATTTATTAATCTAGTATAACGAGGCCTCTAACCTAGAAACCCCATAGTAGTTAGGGCAGACTACTATAGCGGCCCTTAGTAAATCTCAGAACGGCCTTTAAAAATTTCAGTCTACCCCTAGACTACTATAGTAGGTCGAGGGGCAGACTACCATAGTAGGATTTAGTCCGATTTTCATTAAATTTATATATATTATAGCGCACGGCGCACCAAGTAATATACTTTAATTAGACTATATTAATACCCGTGGATGTAGCTTAATATAGTAGTAGAAGTTAGGTAGTTAGGGTTAATAAGGCAGGCCCGTACAGCGCGGGTTACGGCCGATTGCGCCGGGTCACCGAGGTAAAGTAAATAAAGAAAACGAGAGGGCCGTAACAAGACCAGAATAATAACCCGCGGGGACAAAGAAAGTCACGAAGCAATCCACCAAATTATAAACCCGCGATAAAATGTCGAGTATAATTACCGCAGCATAGTTATTCGAGTTTTCCGACGAATTCGGGTTAGTTATTTACAAGCAGTACCGTCACGCAGTTTAGCCCGATCACGTCCGAGGGCATTTACAAGGGAAACATCATAAGTTTACGAGAGCGGATGCAGTCGTAGTAGCCGAAGAAGTCAAGGCGCGGCCAGGATTAATTCCATTCGCGAGCGAATTACAAATACCGACCTAGGCCAGCTAGCCGATACCCCATTTACCATTACACAGGGACGGATTAAAGTACCAGTTAGACGGCGGAGAATACGGATATATTTACTAGTCCGAGAAATAGATAAGAAGTCATTAGAAAAACGTACATAGGTAGAAGGTTTACGACGGCCGAGGCGGGTCGAAGAGAGCGAAGACGCAGGCAAGAGAAACCCGGTTCGAGACGGCGGTCAAGCGGGTTAGTTGCCAGCGATTTTTCACGCAGGGCCCGGGGTTAAAATTTTTCGAGGTAGCGCAAGACCCCAGCGAAGAGCCACATCAAGAGGAGGGGAGAATAGATATCGAGGAGGTAGCATTCGGTCGGTTATAGAGGAAAGCAAACGAGGACCATGCCAAAGAAGAGGAAGAAATCCAACAACACATCGAGGAGGTCGATCGGTTAGAAATCAGCCCGTAGCTCGACAGGACAGGATAGCATAGTTATTTAGTCGGTTTAGAGAGGCGGGATTTAATTGCCAGCGTAGAGGGTCCCGACGTCGAGGAGGAGCCGGTAGAAGCGGTTATTTAGAAAACCATACGAGAATTAGCCTAGTTTTGCCAAGAGACCGTACGATCGAGGGTAGGCATTTTCATTCGATTAGAAGCTATCCGGACAGAGAAGTACCAGACGAGATATCAGCCGTTACAGCTATACATAGACGATAAGACGTTCCAGAAGTACGTTCGTGCATAGCAGCGAGTATTAATATTTTTCGCTAGGACGCAACGGTTACACGATTAGGCTAGTCCGAAATACCGGTTCACCAGGGAGCAGAAGAGGGCATGGAGGGTGTTAGTAGTCGAGGCGAGGAAGGAGGCCGAAGGAGAGAGCGGGGAAGAGAGCGAGGAAGAGGAAGAGGAGGAAAGTAGCTAGGATTCCGTATCCAGCAGCGACGACGATACTAGTAGCAGTAGCGACGAAGGTAACAAGGCCAAATTATCCGCAGTATAGCGGGCGTGTTTAGCGTTTTACATCGAGTTATTAGATTACTAGATCGTGCAGCGGGAGTACGAGTCGCCGTTAGTTTACGCGTTAGCAGTTTTAGGTATTAAGGAGGGCGGGTGGAAAGGGCCGGACACGTATCCGCCGATTTTATCCGCCATAATCAAGATTACCCGGTTCATAGTGGTGTAACAGACCGTCGAAGAATTCGGGTTATAGGTAGTTAGTAGCAGCGACAGCGACAGCGATAGCGACAGCGACAGCAGCAATAGCTAGGCTAGTATCGTTCGAGCCGGTAACAGGCGCGAGTGGCGCAGTTCAGGCAGGCAGCAGCAGTAGTCGCAAAGGGAGACCGACAGTAGCAGCAGCGGTAAGGACAGCGAGTTTAGAGCCGGTAATAGGCGACGACAGAGCAGTTCGAGCCAGCAGCGAAGAAGGCCTAGAAGCAGAGACAGCGTATTAGGCAGCAGTTTCCCGTACCAGCGATTATTATAGTCGTAGTAGTCGCAGCGGATAATATAACCCGGGTTCAAGAGTAAGAGAAGCGGCGGTTGTTTACAGGCGGTTAGACGCATAATAAACCG